GAACTAGCAAGAGAGATCATATCTCTCCCATATTAGCTTCTCTCCACTGGCTCCCTGTAAAATTCAGAATAGAATTTAAAATCCTTCTCCTAACATACAAAGCCCTTAATGACAAGGCTCCATTGTATCTTAAAGACCTCATAGAGCCTTATCATCCTAACAGAGCACTTCGCTCTCAGAGTGCAGGTTTACTTGTGGTTCTTAGAGTCCACAGAAGCAGAATGGGAGGCAGAGCCTTTAGCTATCAAGCTCCTCTCCTATGGAACCAACTCCCAGTCTCGGTTCGGGAGGCGGACAACTTCTCTACCTTTAAGATTAGACTTAAGACGTTCCTTTTTGATAAAGCTTATAGTTAGGGCTGGATCAGGTGACCCTGAGCCTTCCCTTAGTTATGCTGCTATAGGCCTAGGCTGCTGGGGGGGCCCATGATGCTCTGAGTTTCTCTCCCCTCCCTTCCCCTCCCCTATCCTCCCCTCCCCTCTCTCTCCCTATGTTTCTATATGCCACCATTACACATTACTAACTTTTTGTTTCCTCTCTCCCGTAGTGTGTCCTCTCTCTCTCTCCCTGTAACTTTCTGCAGGTTGCCCTGGAGCTCTATATCTCTGACGAGCAGTCACCGGCCACATCGACCTGATCAGTGTTTGATTGTTGTGTCTTGTTGCTTTTCTTCTTTTGTCTCTCCTCTATCCACTCACCCCAACCGGTCGAGGCAGAAGGCCGCCCACCAAGAGCCGGGGTCTGTCGGAGGTTTCTTCCGTTAAAGGGAGTTTTTCCTCCCCACTGTCGCCAAGTGCTTGCTCAAGGGGGATTTGTTGGGTTTTCCCTATGTAATAATATTGATAACAGTAAGGTCTAGACCTTACTTTGTAAAGTGTCCTGAGATGACTTTTGTTGTGATTTGGCGCTATAAAAATAAAATTTGATTTGATTTGATTTGGTGCAGACTGATATGACTACTGCTGGATGAATGCCATTCCAGAAAGCCAGTGTTTCTGAAGTGGCATTTTAGGGAAAAAGGAGGGGTGGGGGCTCAATTTACTGGCCACTGATCATTTTTATATTTTGTCAGTGGTTTAAAATTACTTTTCTTTTACTTTTTTTTTTCCAAAATACTCTGTCCAGTTAGACTGAAGAAAGGCCAACACAAAAGAACTAAAACCTACCTGCTGTTCTCTCAACACAATGCTCAAGAGGAGGCAGCCGGAAATTTCTTCAACACCTGAGCTCACAGCTAGAGAAATATCTGCATATGACAGACCAAGCTGGGCTTTTTTGGATCACTCCTGCTGCCAAGCAATATTCATAAATTTAATTTCCAATCTGCTCTCCTTTTATTAGTTTGGGTGTTATTAAATGAGATTGCTTCATCTTAATGTAATATATTTCCAGGGCCTATGAATGTGGCTAGGAGCTGATATTCAAATTCAATAACATGGCCTGTACTTAGTGCATAGCACTAATAAATGCCAATGTATGATGCATATGAAGACAGGGCTCAGTGTGAAGCAATAATAATGCTGCTGCGAATGTCCTTTAGAGGTGAGACATGCCTCTCTCCACCCTTGCACTTCACAGCTCATATGCCTGAAGAAGCCCGGGTGACCTACATACAAAGACAGGCAGGATGGAAGTGCTGAAGAAAGGAGAGGTGGCTGTTCATATTTCCCTGTATTTTATTAACCAGACTAGACAAATCCCTGAATAATGTATGCACTACATGCAATAGTGTACATCAGAGAGGAGGGCTGACCAGTAACCTCTCTGTGCTGAAGCAGACTGGTCTGTTGGATCCATATTTGAACAGACATCTATGTTGCATGGTGAACAAGAAAGCTGAACAAATGACCAAGGAGGTACAGTGCATAGCAGTGCCTTGGTTGCCGTGTCTCACCTCTTGGCTTCTGTAGGGTTAAAACTTGACGCCTCTCTCTTTTCCCCATTTTATCACTGGATCCTGACAACTTCTCTTGCAAAGGTTGCAGCTTAGGAAGCTTAGCTGCAGCAGCGAGTGACCTTTACTTTTATTATGAATATTTCTATTTCATCATTATTATAGAGTGAAATCTATGCATATGATCAACACAATGGATTTCTTTTTCATTAGTTGTATAAAATGCCAGTCACTGAATGGAGGGGCAGCCAGGACCGGCTGCCAGATTACACCCTCCTTCCCCCACTGGAGGGATCTGACAAGTGGAATTAATATGCGTGGAGCTTTCCCGCTCCATTTGTTGGCTGAGGTTTTCCAGGCAACTTTATCAGAGGTAACATTGTCGAGAGCTTTGCTGGGAGCTTCTTCATCATGCTCACATCCGATCCTGCCCAACACTTGTCACTGTCAATCACAAGGTGATAATACACAGATGATTCTCTCATTTGGTTTAATAAAATCTTCAGGCTTATTTGAACTGCAGTCATTACAGCAAATAATTGCTGCATTGAGGTTTTAGCCAGGTCATAGCCTCAGGGATAAGGAAAGACTATTGCTATATGAAGGATTTGGCTGACGTTTATATTTTTTTAACCTTTACTCCCCAGTTGTTCATATTTCTAAAATGAATATTGCATTTAAATCTAGATTTGGCTTTCTTTATTCAAACTAACATTGTTATTACATATTATCTGGATGTGGAGTCATCTGTTTTCACTTTTTTATGTCTGTGCTGGCAAGACAGGTTTTCACTAGGGACTGCCAATTGTAATTTTTAACTGTCATTTAAACCAAATTGTAGATCTGAATCTGTGGGCCTAACATCCTCTGAAGCAATGGACTGACAGAAGGGAACATATTTCATCTTAAATTTGTATTCTGGCACCATGTGTAACTGGAAAATGCTGCTGAAACCACAATCTATAAATCTTTCAGACAGGAAGAATCAGACAATAAAATATCCCATTATAACACCCATCTACATGGCATATATAACCAGAATTAGCACATTGTGGTCGTATGTCTACGCCAACCAGTCAAGTTTCAGTTTATATGCATGTCTGACTCATATATGTCATGAAAACTTTGAAGGGATTTATTAAAACTTATGAAGCGTATTTCTTGACAAAACTGAAGTTCTCACTATATTGACATGTATGATTCTAATAAATAATTTCCAATGAGAAACATGCTGCTTTCACTTAGTATTTTTATAGAAGAGCTCAAAGGACTTATAGAGAGCTGTGTCACATCATCCAGGTGAATGTTTGTGCCAAGTTTAAAGAAATTCCCTCAAGGTGTTCCAAACGTATTGTGTTCATGAGGACGGGACAGACAGGAAGTCATAGTGACCTTTGACCACCAAAATCTAATCTGTTCACTGTGAAATGTGTATTAGCACTTATATGTGTAGATGGTTTTCATACATTTTTACTAATCATGTATATTTTTATTTAAAGTATAATATGCCCCCCAATAAAATGCTGTTTAATTTCAGCTGATATTATATATAAGATATATCCAGCTCCAATGGTTCACATTGTCAATTAGTTAACTCAGTCTCCACATTTTAATTACATTCATTAGTATATTTGTTTCCCCAAACAAGGTCACAATAGTTGATTAGAAAAAGAATCTGTGGAAAAGACAAAAAACTCATTACAAAAGCAATGGTGTGGATATTTGCATCCTTGTTTGTGTCAGTTTATCTCAATGTCAATGAAGGCAAAGCAGGCATAAACTTATTTGTTTTGAAGTGGACTTTGATTTGTACATGTCAAAAGAGTGATGGTGACCTTGCATTGTTAGCTGTCCCAATAAAGAAGCAGGGCACTAATTACCATAGACCAATGAGAATCTGTATGTATGCTATGAAACTAATTACCTTTGTCACTGAAATGTACTTGGGACATTATACAATCAGATAACAATAAGAGAGTTGATCACTTCTATTTACTCTAAAACTTGGACAGTGTTATTCCTCCCAATTAATGCAATCACCCATGCATTAAATTACTTTTTTTCTCACCAAGAAATATAATTAGGAGTAACTGTTGGGAAATCAATCAATCAACAGAATGAACTCCAAATGAAGTGTGGTCAAAACTAAAGAAATGTGTGACACAGATGGCTCGGATGTGCTTTACCCTCAAGGGACTTTAGCTGTGCAGTATACCAAAACATCAAAATTAAGGCAAGAGAAAAGTGTCCATTAGTTTCATGTTTATCAAAGTGCCCTGAAGCAGTTCTGGGGGTCTTTTTGGTAGCTTTTGTGACAGATAATGAGTAGGATGAAATGAAACACAGAGGGGCCAGATGCTGTGAAAATAGCATATTATTATTGTTATTATTTAGCTTTGTATAGCACATGTGGAACAAAGATGTTATATTATTATTCATTTACAGTTAGCCCATATTAACATTAAAGTCTACAAAAAAGTAACAGAAAAAAATGTATAAGCGTTCCCATGCAACAAAGCTATCATTTCATAATTTTGTTTCATATATTTGACATAAAGTGTTTATTTATTCAGTCTGTGGCTCTACTAAATATATTTATTCAACCTTTAAAGTGGCCCGTGATAAAATGTCACATATTTCAAACCACCACAAAGAAACTAGACAGGACTTTTTTTTAATTGATTGGTAAAGATATTTAATTAGCTATATAAAAACATATAGGCCTACTCATGCACGCATGAATTACAATTTATCTTTCTGTCCGCCAATTCATTTAAACATGGTCAAATTGTCAAGTAGGTGACAGGATGATTGTCAATAACCAACAGACATCCTGACATAGAGTATCACAGTAGGAAACATGCACCCGTAATCAATAATATTCCATTTTGATAAGACAGTTTTAAGCCCTTCTAGTTTATGTGGTCGCTGTCACTGATTACTGAGACACTTCTTGTTATTAGTTGCACCTGTGACTCTTCTTGGTACATTTGGACAGTTTAGTAGGCTACGCCAATGTATGCTGTAGTACCTCACGTGACGGATGTGTCAGCAAATCAACTACGATGACGTTTATCTCATAGACCAATGAGAATCTGTACGTATGCTATGAAACGCCCTTCGATAATCTAGGGTTAGATTGAACTTTGGTTTCTGTCAAATTATTTTGCCAGACAATGTTAGCATGATCACACCCAGAGGACTGACAAGCATCTGAAGACTGAGTAAAAATTACATCGGGACACACGCTAACGGAATATTTACAGGACTTTAGCAAATACAGTGAGTTATTAAGACTGCTTGCATGTAAAGGCTAAAATTAAAGGGATAGTCAAGTTGTTAGCAACCCCAAACGTAGCTTCATAAGCTAATGCTATTGATATCGTTAACATAACTGTGTCCTATCACGGTTCCATATTATCTAACATTCTGTTAGCATTTGTGACAACAAGCATAAATGGTCGTGTAACGTTTTCAATTAATATAACGATATAAATCTTACCTTTCTATCATATATCGTTGGTCATTTACTTTAGCTAGAGGCGATAAGAGTGCTAACGCCGGAGATTTAACCGTGAGCTGATATTGTCCCTTCACGAACCTGATCTCTTGGCTGTAAACGCCAGGTGCGCCTGGTTTTGACAGTGTTTTACTGCGTTTTTAAAAAATATATCCATGGTTATTAGCTTGTTCTTGTTTCCGCCGAGTAAACATTAATGCTAAAAACACATTCGTTA